CTTGCTCGGCACACAGTTGTTCCCTATCTTCGCTTATTCCCACGCCGGGGTCTAGACTTTTGCTACTTTCTGGTTATCGTAGATAGGCAGATGTTACCTCCGCCAATCCTAAGATCTTCGTTGTGATACCGTTCTAGGTTCGTTCCCTCTCGCTCGGGTGCGGAAAACGGACGTTCATAGGTTTGGAGCAATCGATGTGCCATCGGAACAAATAGTTAGTGTGTGTGTGAAACATCCGGGCCGTAGCGATCTGGGAGATGTCGGTATCCCAACCGATTGATGTGCTGTGGTGAGGTAGGAGATACAAGCGTACGCACGTAAGCCATCCCATTCGGCCCGTGCGGATGTGGTTAGAATCTGATCCATACGTTGGTAAAAGTCCCTGTGGGGGTGTTCTGTCTGGTTCTACCTTTACGTGGGACTCTACTTCTCTCTCCATCGGTGCCGAAGGGATGGTATATGGGTGGCTCTCAGGGCTACGATGAATATGTACCTAGGTTTCTTACTTGCGTTGGTACTAAGATAGCCCTGGTTATAATGTGTACCTAGTTATACAGACATGCCCGTGGTTCCTTTTTCCATTAGTGCCTTGCTCAAGAGCAAGTGAACAGTAAGCCGTGTTAGAATACAGTCCTAACAGTTAGATATCATACATTCTAATCCTGTGTCAACGAACGGTAGGAATATACGGCTAGCCTAGCTGTTACACGGATGCGTCTCATCGAAGGGTATCCTCACACACGTGCAGCAGGGCAACGGCACTAACCCGCTGCGCTATTTATCGAACCGGGCGGGATGTGGTTGGCAGCAGGGCCGTTGGTATTACCTGCAGATACTACATCGTTGGCATATGTAGTGACGACCCAGAGCTCCGGGTTCCCCACACTACTAAAGATTGTATTTTCTGCGGGATAACGAGCAGATTGGAGTGACAGTGCGGTTGGCGTTGTAGTCTAGGGGCTATATGATGTGTGACTGGAGAGGCGTTTGTGTGTATATCGTGTAATGGGAGTGGGATATTGGTTGGTTAGACTTTGGAGATTATAATAAAGCCATTTAGCATGTTTGGATTAATGTTTGGCCATGGGACCTGTGTCTATACTATGTTCATAACTTGGTTAACTGTTGTGGATATAGTTAATTCTCGAGAAAGGAGATATAAGTGGGCAAGAAGACAATGACGGTCCAAAGTATGTTACGCTCATTGTTAGAAAAACCAAACGAATAGCTATAGAATAATAGCTAGGCTTTAATTCGGAATAGGCTAACCTAGAATTTACTATTTTCATAATTAAAAACGTCTCATGAGGCCGGCACGGAGACATTATACAACTTTTATAAAACATATCGTATGAATACCCTGGGCCACTGGGCTTTATGCCTATGTCTAAAGACCTTGAGTATATAGCATATTTGTTAAAGTTAAGTCCGGTCACGCCGTCTACGGCTGTTGCTATATCTATATTACCCCGAGTGCTGAGAACATACTTCATCCTTGATAAACCAGAATATCGGTGGTATCAATGACAGCTCTTGTTTATATCAGCGGTCTAGTCTTGTCCTGGTTTATGGTTCTTCGTGCTTCAATATAATTGGGTACTTATTCAGTTGTGTTCTCACTTAGGTACTCGTATCCTCGCAGAGAACACTAATTGATAAACGACACATCACTTTAATCATTAGTCAACTAAGCAGTTAGCATTGGAGGAATTACAATGAGACTAGGTAGTCAAACCCAGTTAGGGGTTCCCCAAGTCTTTTAGATTCATCATTTCAAAGGAGTTTATCCTAGTTGTGGAATTTGATCGGAGGGCAAATAGTCATGATGATAATAACATGAACCTGGATCTTATGATAGACACTTGCTTATATATTAAGGTAGTTAGGTTATAACAACTGGTGAATAACTCGGTTCTCACTGAATTGCAAGATAGTGACTCTATGCCCCCCTTCATATGAGTCGAGTGGGTAGCAAGCCAGACAGCCATATATATATAAAAAAACACGAAGAAATCCAAGTTCAGACAGGAAATAATGAGAACGATAAACTTGTATTCCCAAGGTTCAAGTACACTTATCTACCTACCTAGGGACCTGACCCTCGACAGCTGCCAAACCACCCGCTGGTTGCTAGGCAGCCAAGTTTAACATAAGTACACCATTAGAAACCCATTCCCTCACCCCTGATCGGCAGCTGCAAACCCAACATGGCCGTGGTCTAGTGGTTAATGAAGTAGGGTCAGAAATAATCCTTAACTGGGTTTTTCGTAGGAAACCAGGTTCGAGATAGCCCCAGGGCGGCAGGAAGGCCAACTGTTCAGGTCAAATGGGGTCCTTGAATACTGAGTTCCGAGCTTTTTTGTCGACCTGTTATTCTTTCTTCTTTTTTATTTATTTTAATCATCATTTACTATTTTCATAATCATATACAACCTTTTTTTATCGATGCAGAGATTATGTGGCTAATGGATTAGAAGAATCTATTGATCATACGACGTTACTACAGAATTGAGTCTTATTGGACTATTTCAGGGGCTTCCAATCGCAGAGCCGCAGATCACATCAAACAAACTCGGAAAATCAGCAATAAACTCCCGACCTTTGGCTTTTGGTCTAGTCAATTCATGCTATCAACATCCCTGGTATTTGTAGGTTGACCGTCTATAATCGCATACAGATTCGACCTGCCCTCAAGGACTACCGGCGAATTTTTATTTAGTCCTCATCCCAGTTGGGGTTGGGTCCCGGTGGCTTCGGTCCGCCAGCTTGCCTTGCTACGATGATCTGGTCTACCGATAGCACTGTTCGCGCTGCCTCCGTCGCCAGCTTGATGGCCCAAGACTTGGTGACCATAAGGTCTAGGATACCCTCCTCCTTGGCATCCAGGGTGCCAGTGCCGTCGTTGTTCTGTAGCAAAAGTGATGTCAGTATTGCACTACGTGTATGAATAGCAAGGTTGAGGGTCTTACCTCTATGTCAACTCCTGTAGTCCAGCCGTCCTTCTTGTTATGTGCCGTGTATAGTCTACTTAGCACTTCTGTAGCATCCAGACCCGCACTCTCTGCTATGGTCCGTGCTACAACCTCGAACGCCTCACCGTATTTACGGATGGAGTATTGCGGCAAGCCGGAAGTCTTGTCACCGAAAGCTTGTATCCTTCCCACGAGCTGTATCTCTGTGGCACCTGCACCGGGCACTAGTTGTGCATCGCGGGTAATAGCCTTCACCACGTTGACTCCGTCGTCCACCGCTCGCTCAACGTCGTCAAGGTGATTTTGCGTAGCACCCCGGAGAACGATGGTTGCCGTCCTTGTGACCTCGTCTTCTTGTCTGAATACCGTCACGCGGTCTCCGCCGATTTCGAGGGTCTCGACGACGTCTACAGATCCCATCTCGTCAGGCATGGGAGCGCCTAATCTGGCAAGAGGAGTAGCGCCAACGACCCGGCAAACCCGCCGTAATTCAAACTTGCTCAGAATCTTGATGACGAGTATGCCGTATCGGTTGAGGTAATGCATGGCAAGCTCTCCCACGGTGGAGCCGGCGATTACGACTCTCAAACCGACGTCGTGCAGCTCCTTGATGGCGGCTTCTAATTGCTCTTCCTCTCCCTTGGTGAAGTCCATCATTTCCTTAGCGTTGTGTAATAGCACGGTACCCTTGGTCTCAGTCTGGCTTATGTCGAGGGCACAGGAGAAAACTGCGACCTTGGCCTTGGTGGCCTTCTTGACAGATCCATCTGGCTCCTTGGGGAAGACCATACCCTTCACCACTTTGCTCTGCTCTAGGCTTCCGCCCATGATCTTCACTACTCGGATGTTGTCGACATTAAAGTTAACGGGGTTTTTAGGGAGCACGGCGAGAACGGCCTCGGAGACAAGAGTGGCTAGTGTATCCTCGTTACCGTTCTGCTTGCTCGCCACCACTGTCCGGATCGCCTTGCTTAACTGTTCCTGGTTCCTAATGTCATCTACCTTGTCGACGACGAGTTGCTCCAAGGCCTCAAGGGCGAATGCTTGAGCGCGCTCGTAGCCTGTGACTATATCTGCAGTCTTTAGGCCCATTCGTAGTAAATCTTCGGCTTTCTTGAGGAGCTCGCCGGCGAGAACTATAACAAGGTTTGTGGCATCGCCCATCTCAGCCTCCTGCTGTTGACTGGCCATAACCAAAAGTTTGGCGGCGGGGTGGACGACGTCGAGTTCCTTGAGGATAGTTGCAGCATCGGAAGTGAGGATCATCTTCTGCAGATGGTTTATAATAATTTTATTTCGGCCATAAGGTCCTAAAGAGGTCTGGACGGTAGAAGCAATAGCCCGGCAAGCATCAATATTTCGAAGCACGGCTCCATCTTCGGCGTCGTAGCTATAAAATGGTAATATGGTTAGGCACCTCTTTATTATACAAGTTCGCAAGCTGTGGCGGGGTGAAGAACAACATACTTGTTATAGCCTTGCTTGAACAGGCCAGCATTTGGCGCGTTCGGGATATTAAGCGACATAGTTGTTGATTCCTTTGATTCCTTTGATTCCTTTCTAGGTAGATGTCCAACTTCTTGTTGACTCGGAATAGACCAGGGGTGAAGACTGAATACACGCCTCGTCAACTATTAAAGTGTATTAAAGTGGGAGACTCCAAAGTTGAAGCTTCTACCAGAAAAAAAGTAGTGGAGCTAGGTACATCCTATCAAAGCTACTAGGAGGTACATAATACATGCGATACTTAGTTACTTCCATGGAGCTAGTGTACCTAAAGGCTAAAGCATTGAAGCAAGCAGACCTAAGATAAAGCCTTGCAGCAAAGATGTGGGCCATAAAGTATATATTATCCAATCAAAATTCTAAATAAGCAGCCTCGTCCCTTAACAAAAAGTAAGGTACCGTACCACGCTTCGAATAAGCTATGGACATATTTCGTCGCGCCTGTTATCTGCGCCGTCTTTTGCTCTCTTCGTCATCTTATTCTTTTCAACTTCACCGTCGGATGTTTGTTAAACACCACGCAATATCATTCTAAGATATCAGCTGTGATTCAGTATCGGAATAAGAAATACGCAATTTAATTATCTGGCTCGCAGTCAGATCCTGAATTGGTGAAGCAGCTGCGACACCTGTCGCATTGTATAAAGATGGCTCCGCAGAGCAGTAAGTGCACACATTCTTATCATCACCAACTTGACAGCGCAAGCACCTCCAATCTAGGTGCCCAATAATGAGCACCCTCATATTACCTTCTCGAATTAGCCATTTCCCATTAAACTTGTTGGTTACCTTGTCATTATAACCTCTCACTATCCTCACTTCAACGTCAACAATCAACGATGGATCTTCCGCCCTTATTTCGATTCAGTCCCGGAAAGGGAAAACGACCCGTTCAAGTTGGACATACTAAACCCGCTGAACCTGAACTATCTTCCGAAATTGAAGATAATGCTGCTCGGGGTTGGAGTCACGCATCGTCAGAATATACTAAGAACACGAGCTAACCATATAATTTTATAGTTAACCCTCCCGCTCTACCTCCTACGGTCGAAGAAGCCTACCGACGTAAATGTATCCAACTGAAGGAGCGCACCAAAGAGATCGAAGATGAGACAAAGGCCTACCAGCTGCGACTGAACCGACTCCAGCGCCAAGTCCAAAAACTACGTCTCGAGCGCGCATTCCTCCTCGAGCAGGTCGCTAAGCGCACGAGCACCAACGTAGAGGATTCTGAAGGCAGCCCTAGTCCTCCGCCGACTGTATGTGCTAATTTCCTTCTTACCTGTGGAACGTTTACATTAAACAGATGTCTAACTATCTAGCAGCCTAAGGATAAGCCGCTCAGAACCAAGCGTGGGCACAGGAAGCCGTCCCTGCTTCCCATCTCTGAGCCGGGCGCCGGGCCGGGCGCGACTTTCATTAATCAGAACTTAGCGACGCTCTCGCCGAGCTCCGACGCCTATTCACACTCCCAGCTCGACCACGGCCGCCTTAATGGCATTGCTAAGCGACCTAAGCGACCTAGCAACGCCTTCGAAATCTACTGCAACGACACCCGACCCGTTCTTCAGGCCCAGCATAAGGAAAAGATTGCAGCGGGAGAGTTCCGTCTCGAAGAGGAGCTCGCACGCGGCTGGAAGGACCTACCAGAAAAAGAAAAAGAGGAGTTCCAAGTCCGATATGAGCAGGAGTTGGCCCAATACAAGGAGGCTGTTGAAGAGTATAAGCGCGAAGCAAAAAACGCTGCGCGTGAGCGCTCGCGTAACAGGGACAGAGACCACTTCGGCAGCATCTCTAGCAGTAGACGTGGCGGTGGAGGTGGTCGTTCGGCCCGCTTCGAAGAGGTCCAGGATGAAGAAGGAGACGAAGATCAGGATGTCGAGATGGCGGATCCTGGCGACCACGAGCCTGCAGGCGATCAGGATACGGACCCAGAGACCGAGGTTGACGAGAACGACGGCGCGGTAGACGATTAGGAGGGGTACAGCCTTAGATTCAGACTTAGGCCCTCCAACAGATAGAGACGGCTTTAGGAAGATGATCCGTATATGAGCCGGCGGGGAAGAACGAGATCCTCCCACCGCTAGGACCCTTAAAAATTTGGCGTTACGGTAAGGGACTTTGGCTTAGCTTTGGCTTTGAGTGTAGGATTAGGATTAGGTATTATGCTAGGCCTGGGAACTAGGAAGTTAAGATAATAGCATTAATGAATCAGAGAAAAAGAAGGTTTAATTTCTATGTACGAGGACTTTGTAGGGGTTGGTTGGTGAAAAATGTGAGCTTTTGTTTCTGTTTCGCGTTGAGGGAGTAGTCAAATATCTAACCTGGAATTGTGAGATTATTGAGTGATTCAGTCTTATGCGAGGTAGATATGTAGGTAGATTAGGTCGGTTTTGCTGTGAAGCGCTCCTATAGTGTATAATACTTCCGAAAAATGGCACGCGGATGAAGTAAGAGGTAGATACACAAGATACACATGACGAAGCTGACGCGCGAAGAAACTATTGATATTAACGCCATTCATTACCCACGCTGCTATCGCCGCTTCAACTGGACGTTACTTCGATTATGTACCTAATGTATGCAATGATGCCTATCCTATGTTAGAGGTAATATAAAGCCGATACGCAGCCCAAACGCCAAAAGCTGCAAGCTACTAGTACTGCTATGTGGTGTGCTGTGCATATCATATGTATGTGTATATGTATGCTATCTAACCGATGCACCTGAAACCGAACACCGCCCGTCCTTTCTTGACCTGTATAGAGACACAAATTGGCCTGGCTCGCTCTCTTAGTTAGTGATGGGCGAAGCTAGGTGGTTAGTCTACGCCTGCGTAGAGGTCGACGACAATGTTGACGGCTGCGACTAGGATTTCCGCGGCGATGAGGACGATGACTGTAGGTATATGTTAGTTGGGCTGATATACACCCAATAGTTTAGACTCATTCCATTCGGAATAGGTAGTAAACCATATAGGGGAGGGAATAGGGGGGATGGATATGTTAGATACTACGTACCGATCCACTCGAGTTTCTCGCCATGACCATGGCTCAGCTGATCTTTAAGTACGGCGAGCAAGTCAGCAATGACGTCGAGGCGCTCAGTGAGCAGGCGGACACGTTGATCCATCTCGAGATAGCTGCGGACGGCCTGGTAGACGGGCTCGAGATGGGGTTCGACCCAGAAGAGCTCGGGGGTGTCGAGCACGCTGCCGTTGAGGTGGATGCTGATGCGCAGGATAAACAGCTCGCCGATTTGCATGTTGATTTGCGACCGCGACAGCGCGATCTTACCCGTCAGAGCTATCTGCGTCGGTATGTCCTTGCATGTGTCGACTGTCGATGCGATAAGCTCTTCGAAGAGGGACGTCTGTTTGGAAGGTTAGTTATCTATTCACATTGTATATATATATGAGGGTAAAGCATACCTTGACGCTTTGCGCCAACGCGTGGGATATGGCTAGCTTCGTCATGTAGTTCCCCTTGTCCCTCAGCGTGATAAAGTCGTTGTATATCCGTGGCTGGTACTCATTAGTGTAGTAGAAGTTGAAGCACTCCGTCTCCACGTCGTCCGGATCTAGCTTATCAAGTTCGAATTTTGCGATGTCTTTTAGGAACCGTTGCTCGTGTTCTGGTGACATGCCCCATATCACAACAACACCGTAGTCGAATAAGAATACCTCTGGTGTATGTACCTGGATGTCGAAGTCGGCACCATGCTGTTGGTGTTCGGAATGCGAATGCGGATCGTGTATGGCGCTCTCATCCTCAGAATGTGTCGGGTAGGAGAGGTCGTTATGTACATCCCGGCCGTTACTGAATGTCTGCTCGGTATCTGATGCGCCATCTTGTTGTGATTGCAGGTTCCGCAAGCTTTCCCTCTTGTACGCATCCGAGTGTTCTTCTACTTCGCCGGTAGAATGTCTCCTTTCGTAAGTTTGGATCGGCCTTTGCCGTACTTCTTCCACCACCTCGGCTCGCTCTACGGATTTCCCGAGCGTGTAATTATACGGCGTGTATATGCATTCATCAATCAGCTTGGGATTTGCCCCCCTATTTTTACCCCTGCCCTTAAGGAATCGCATCAAACCTTCCATATGGTACCTTGTAGCCGTACAGTAGGCCGTCACCCGTGGCAGCCTTTCGCGGTCTGCCTTGCCTAATCGTGCGGCATCTCTCCTTGCAGTAGGATCTTTAATACGTGTATATTGCGAGTAGACATCTCTGCCGCTCTCCTCATCTGGACCCTCCACGTCAAGTTCAGGATTCGGTAATAATTTCAGCTTCTGTGCATTCTTGGAACTTCGCTGGGGGCCAATTTTTGGTATAGGGTTGGCTGCCGGCGGGAGAGCGGTGAAGACGGCGCCGTGGCTGTTACGTCGACGCAGGCGGTTGTTCAGCGCGGAGAGCATAGGTGGCGGACCAGCAGAGCTGCTACCCGAGGCCATAGAGCTAGGTAGGCGTGCATGACCAAAGTTGCCTGTAGTACCGGGCGAGGAGCTTAAGGATGAGGGATCGGGATCGATTGTTCTCGTTACGGGATTGGGGTTGAAGGTTACATTGCGCGCGCTTCTAGGACGGTTTGCGTCGTGTCGTAGGAGAGGAGTTCGCTCAGACGTCAGGCTGGAGCTAGTTGAAGCTCTTGGTGATGCATCCATCGTGATACTTATCTACTTGGATAATACGCGACTTCATATAGCGATAGGAGCCAACTGAGCCTGCTACTAGGTGACCTTTGATGTGCGATGTGCGATGATAGCTCTCCTTATATTAACTGCTACCGTGTTGCCATATGAAAGATGAAACTCGCGGATCCAATTGTTTGCTCTTCTTATCTCGGGAATAATTTCAAATCATGAATCAAAGTACTTGAGCTTGCAACACGAGTCGGTGTGACAACGTGGGAGAGAGTGTGTATTGTTACGGCCTAAGAGGTTTGTTTTAGAGACGGGACGCAATTCTCGGGGCTAAAAAAGAAGCTTGTATTTATGACGTTTGACGAATTGACCAACGTTGAAAGAAAAAAGAAAAAAGAAAAAAGAAAATAAAGCTAGGCCCGGCTTGTCAACGCCGACCCCTGCAACATTATTATTTTTTGCGGGGATCCTCAGTCCGTCTTCGTATTTATCTGTATATTACCTGCAAATATGTATGGTCAATACATATCAGTACCTGTAGCCAATACCTACATAAGGTACACGTGCATCACAGTACCTATGTACATGTAGTAGCATAGGTATTATACATACATTTATGCATAATACACTTTCCTATTATCGCCAGTTCCGTCGTTAGATGCAAACGGTTTGAAAAGAGGCTCAAGATGGAACTCCAGCCCATTACTTCTTCTTAAAACAAGTTCGATCATATGCATAACCTCCGCCTGTTTAACATATTAGTTCCGGGTCATTCTCTGACCTTCCACAATCATAGATGCCAAATCCTAACGCCGGCCATATGAAGCCGAAATAACGCCTCTCGGCTTATTCTGGACAAATGCGGAACGCAGCCAAGAGAAAACTATGCGTCGATAATCTTCGACTCTAGTTTGAAGCCAACATTATTCAAACGGTCGATATATCCCTGGCCTAAACATGCAGGGGTATAAACACCTCCTACGAGGTCGAGGTCGTCTTGTAATATTGTGCAGGCAGCTTGGCTAACAAACACCGCAGTCACTATTACCAGTCGTTAGCTTATAAGTTACATCTAACTAAAAAGTTAGGTGCTTACAATAATACAATCCGCCACTATATTCAGCCTTACACCATGCTTGCTTGCCGATGCTAGGTTGGACGTCTGGCGTTGCGATTCCGTGGAACTGGATATACTCTTTTGCCTGATCTTCTTTACTTGTTCCTTCGCCGGGCTGATAGACGAAGTTGCGCATTAACTTTCGAATTGGCGAGCAGAACATAAGCAATGCGCCGCCGACTATGAGGGTATAGTGCATCGCCATACCCCTTAGGTGGTTCTTCGCTTTTATAAATTCCCGGTAAGTAAAGTTCGGTCCATAGAACTGCTTCTGCAACGATGGCTCCTGTTTGAACAGACCCCAGGTACGCTGCACAACTGCTGTGTTAGTCCCGGCAGTCATGGAGGTTGACATGAGTCCAAGCTTGGGGATGGTATATAAGCCTGTTAGCTTTGAAAGCAACGAAGGCTTAGGGGCCTGTTTTGAGTTCGGGACAGGAGATAGAGCATATGGTTTGTGAGATTTAACCACTTCTTTCCAGTGAAAGACGTCGAAGAGCCCTAGGAGCGTATGGAGAGTACCACCCGACGGTGCACCACTATATCGTGTTAACTTCCCGCTGGTATAATTGGGCTAATAACTTACTGTATCTCATGTATTTTAACCACAACGTCGCCCACCGGGGCTGAGAGCTCGGATCGGATGAGTGATGCCATCGAGAAGGTCATTAAATCCGACGGCACAGATTCGATGGCGGCCTGGGGGATCATGCAAGCACCCGTCGCCTTCGCGGATGCTTCATACTTCTTGATCATAGATGCGTGCCAAACAGCCTCGCCGGTGCAATCGAAATAGTGAGTGCCAGCTTCTGCGCAAGCCTTGAAGGCAAACTCTCCGTATTTTGCATACGGACCAACTGTCGTGATGAGCGCAAAAGTCTTCTTGGCCAACGCCGCAAGATCTGCGTCATTGAGACCACATATCTCAATCTCTGGAGGCTGACGATCAGAGTTCAAGGCTTTGCATCCTTGAACTACATTCCGCAGCTTGTCAGCAGATCGACCGGCTATCGCCCATTTTAGATATGTTGGGAAGTGGGTTGTGATATGTTCCGCAATCAGTGACCCGGTATAGCCTACCAACGATTAGCCGTCTGAATATACTTAATCTCCTACATAGTAACCATTAGGTAGTCAATTTACCAGTTGCGCCGAACACCACTAGGTCATATTGGCGAGGGTGTTTCTTGAAAGACATTATGAGTTTCGGTCGAGGACGATGCAATTAGGACGAATATAGGTAGATGGGAAAAAAGTATGAAGAGAAGATGCACTCGACTAGATATCGACGTAGGTCTTCGCTCGAGGTAAGAAGCTCCTTTACATGAAGGAGATGCCTATTATACTTGCGATACAGGTAATACTTAGGCTAGAGACTGAGGAGACATGAAATATGTGGCCAGTATTTTTCTATCAGGGCTATAATATATATATATATATATAGATAAATAATACAGTACACGCAGATCAGGCCGTTTGATATTCCCTTCTCCCATTTCCGGCACCGCTTCTGATAAACTAGGTAATAAACTAGGATACATACATACAAGAGGCTTTAAAAGCGGTAATCACGGAGCGCAGTTCTAGCTACGAAAGGAATCAAGGCCGTACATACCTCGGCTTCACATCTCCAAATGAAAGAGAACTCCGGCGTTTCGTGAATATCAATCCGGTGAGAGTACCGTAAGTTTCGGGTGCGTGCCTAAAGAAGTTTAGTCCGCAAGATGATCTCCGCAGGGATGGTTTTATGGCAGTGTCCCTCCGCCTTGTTAGACTCTTAGATGACGGGAGCCAATGAGATGGATAAATCATGGTCCGTGCTTAAATCGTGCTTAAGCGAATCGGAGCATTTTTTGTATGCTCCGTTTACTTCCAGTCTACGGAATAATTGGAGAATGATTTGTATGGGTTAGTCATTCAATCACCTGACCAACTATCTTATCACAACCTCCCAACCTCCCAACCTCTCCCCCCCCTCCTATGTCCCCTTTTAGCGCACTTGCCTAACGTGGTCCAAGCTTTTAATTATTCGTTCGCTTAGACCCTAGTCTGGACCACCACCAGCCGTACTTTCTCACAAAATCAAAAATTCTAAGCTAGCAGCCCACTCAGCAGTCCAACCTGGAATTTGATTGAGGAAATTTCCAATTTCGACCACAACCGAAAAACACCCAACCCTTCCATCGTCATTCGCACTCCACGAACAAACCTCACATCCCTCAGACAAAATGACGAAGCGCACAAAGAAGGTCGGTGTTACCGGAAAGTACGGTACCAGGTAAGTAACTCAATATTTTCGTTGGTATCTAATTTAGAGTCCCTCGAGCGGCCATGTCATCGCTGGTGGTCCAACGCGACCAGTCTATTGAGACAAAATTACAATCTCCCAAACACGAAGAAATACGCTCGAGGCGACCTAGTTCCTACGAAGCAAACCGCTGACGATAGTCCTCCCGGATAGATACGGTGCCTCGCTCCGAAAGCAGGTCAAGAAGATGGAAATCACCCAGCACGCCAAGTACACCTGCACATTCTGCGGCAAGGTCTCCGTCAAGCGTCACTCCGTCGGTATCTGGGACTGCAAGTCGTGTGGAAAGACTGTTGCCGGAGGAGCCTACACTGTCTCGTATGTTGAACTGCAATATAAACTCTGCTAGAAGGGCGAGAGACGTCAGTGCTAATATTCGCGTTACAGGACCGCTGCTGCGGCTGCCATGCGATCAACGCTGCGAAGATTGAGGGAGATCCAGGAGGTTTAGACGTGATGTGAGGGGGAACGGCTATTTTCTTTGCATTTGGCTTCGGTGTACAGGAACACGGAATTTTCTACGCAAACCATGAAGGGTCATGACGACGATCGATGAATTCCCTCAGTGGGCATCAGTGAGATCGCCTACGGATCATCGATCATAACCAAATGCCAACAAGAATTACTATGAACAAAACATCCTGATTGTCGGAGTCGCATTATACGGCCCGGCTTTATCTAATAATGCTCTTATGTGAAACCTGCTTCTCAATATTGCCCAAGGACCCGTCGTCTAGACTTTTATCGTCGGATCTACGCTTTTCGAGTCATCGATTCGATGGAGAGTTGTTGGCGAGGGTCGCTTTAATTGATTATCCTAGGCATCTACCTCTGCCGTTCGAGATGTCGACTGGCCTTGCACGACCTAGCACGTATTAAATGTGAGGATATTTGACGCCAGGGCGGCTGGTGCATATTGAAGAGCAACAGTGCGGCTTGAGGACTTTTATCCTTGCCTAACTGCTATATGCTCGAATTTGAGCCCAGCTGCTCCTGGCGCAGGTATGTCGTCAACCCTGTTTACTTGCATGAGTCATTTAGCTGCCTAGTAGACTCATTCCTCAAATAGGATTCATGTTGACGCAAAGTCGTAAGGCAGCACTCATGAGACAAGTGTCACGTTGAGAGGCAACCGTCTTCGAACTATATGCGGTTGGATAAGCTGCTCGGGCTCGAGTGCGAATTACCGAATTCCCAAGATAGGTATAAAAAGACCCGATCCCCATCGTATTCTCGCCTCATCCGTAATCGGCTACCAAAGTCCGGACCTAGCTTGTTTACTTATCCCACCGCACAAGACTTTTATCTGATGGTATAGGCACCGGTCTTTTGATTACTACTAATATAGTCTCCAACTGGCTTATACATTTTATCATTGGCCTGGCGAACTGTACCTGAAATCGAGTTTATTCCTCATTCGGTAAATTACAGATCCCGTGGTACATATTTAGGATAGCCGAAAGAACCGGAACTTGGAGTTTTTCCCTCCCAACAAGGACCCGTCGTTGAGATTTCCAACCGGGTATCGGTAGGTTTGAGAATCAGGTCATACGTAAGATGTAAGTGGGTAAGAATTACACCGGAACATACCACTATACCAAGGTTAGAAGGTTCAATGTTGTATGAAGAATATCCATCGCTAATCCTCGCGAGTGCTGACTGGTCAACTATTCGGAACGTCAAGGGGAAGACGAGTAACGCTGCATTAGCTGCAACATTGAGGATGCACATTTGAGGATGCTGCATGACCAGTAGGTATATGTAGGTACCTAACCTAAGGTTTCTTACTACTAACTTTGGAAGCGAAATCTGCTTATTCGTACTATATTCACTGTGCACTTACTACCTACCAACATTGAACTTTGCCTCTTATTTTATCTTACTTATACGACTTATACGTACTTTGCCTTTGACACGATCTACACATCTGCATATCTGCACAGTACTTTAGGTACCTATCTAAGGTATATCTCTTATGCAGGTATTCCTATGCGGATACATGTATTCATAGGTACCACTAGAGGACCTTATTGGCACCTGGCAAACCGACATTGAATTGGAAAGTCGCAGATGCGCTTGGCCCGGTTTAACACTACCTACCGAACTCTCTTCGTCTCTATTTATAATTTTACGAGTTTCGTCATGAAAACTTTAGGGATTTATCTCATCGTTTTCTAAATACCGCCGTCTAGATTCGGAGCTGGTAATCTCAAGCCATCCAAGCGACTTACTGTCCAAGTTCCGGTGGGTTGAGCCGAAAAGTACCTTGTACAAATTGCGTTCACGAGACAGCAACGGCAACAACAATAGCCACTATTCGACTCATCAGTCTTTGGCCCACCCTTGGGTTCATATGTATGTACTACTGCTATTAGAAGTCGAGTAATTTGTGACTTACGTACCTAAGGTAGGCAGTCCCTAATCATCAGCTGCCCCCCTCTCTTCCAAGGTCTATTTCTTACGAAGCCCTAGTGCCTGGATTGCCTGGATTGCCTTGAATTACCTACCTATGTAGGTACGGAGGAAGTTGAGACTCCCCATGTTCAGCTCTCACTGAGAAAGTACTAAAGAAAGTACCGAGTACCGAATAACTACCAAATACCAAATACTTACCAAATACCCCCCCATTAAAAAAGGGTCCAGGGTTCAGTTGGCGTCGGCTGATTGGGTCCGGCACGGTGACGCTTGGACCAGATTAAGGTGGCAGCGCTAAATGACAAAATTCCACGCTCTTTCAGCACCCCTCTATTCTCTTTTGACCTTTCTATCATTGTGTCAACCACCTTGAAGTCCAAATCCACACTCCGCGCCCACTTCAGTGTTCCTAGTAACTCGCCTAGCACCATAACAAGGCAAGGCAGTGGCATAACGAGATACAGAAAAAAGCTGCATTTGTCCAAGTCCTCTGTTTGGCTTTTTCTCCGTGGAATAGTCATCAGTCACCTGTCACTTATTTTTTTTTTCTGTTCCAAAAATTAAAATCTGTACCAAACCAGAACTTAAACCCAGCATCCATCCTCTTCCCATCAAATTCACCCCCTTGTTCTCTCCTTGGTTTATCGGTTTATCGGTTTATCTACGGATTACATTAGAGTTGTTTAAGCTCCAAAACGCAGCAAACTACAACACAGTATTAACTCGTTCGAATTTCCGCCACATCTCGTTTCTAGACAAAGCTCGGTTTAACTGGTCAGCCAAGCATAAGCCATAAGCCATCTATTCCCTCCAGACGCACACACGTCAAAGCGACCTTGGAGCTCTCCGGAGTCGATTCATTCTTCTAAACTTAAACGTCAGAAGGGGTGATTGTGAAGCAACGGAATTGGCCACCCAATACTTAGCTCGTTTTCCAATCATCCCTCTAGTTTCCCTCCAATAAGACACCATACGCAACTTACTTGGTACTTGGGGAACGCATCATCGTCATTTACCTTAACACTGCCTTTTATTTTCCGGTCCCATCTATTCTCTTTACCATCTACATACCTAACGGTTAGGTTACTTACTATACTATCTACCTGCACCACTCCTATCGCTTTTGCTCAACCCATCCCCTCGAGTATTATCGACGACTCCCACCTTATCAATCTACGAATCCACACAGTCCGCCTCGAGCCCGTCCACCAAGCTATTGCATTGTGCTTTTAATAGCGAATTAACGATCACCCATTTTCAAAGGGGGTTTACTGCTCAGGTCTAGGCTGCAGCAAATCTTAAATTCAGACTTACATCAAGTCACTTATATGTTGTATTCTCAACATCGACAATCCATGAAAATCTGCCCCGATGGCTGATCAATGTATTGTCTGTCTAGAAAATCTAGACGTTCAATCGTCATCGTCGCCGTCGCCGTCGCAATTGTATTTACCTTTAGAAGGTGACGTGCTGCCGAGCTCCTCGTCCCCCATTAAAACGTCCGAAGTTACAAATGCTCTGGCACGATTATCACCGGGGTCTCCACTAGGCAGTACATCTAGCGCTGCCCACCAAAATGATGAAGAACATAGAATCGCCATTATTCAAGTTTGCGGTCATGCTTTGCATGATGCTTGTTTACGAGAATGGACTGGAAAGGCGAACAGCTGTCCGATTTGCCGCCAAGCATTCCACCTGGTGCATGTCTATGATAAAGTTGGAGGTAAGTTAAAAGCGTCGCGATTCTGGCTGCACCCTTTCGGAACGACAAGCTAACCAAGTCTCCCGCTAGGTACCCAATTATCTTCGTATAAAGTAGAAGATAAGAAGCAAGTTGTCGAATTCGATCCGCAAGCATGGCTTGACGACAATCCCGAAGTAGAAGAGGCAACGAGGCCATGCCCCATCTGCAATCAAACCGATCACGAAGATGTGCTTCTGCTCTGTGACAACTGCGATGCACCATATCATACATACTGTGTAGGCCTCGAAAGCGTGCCTCGAGGGCACTGGTTCTGCTTAGAATGCTCAGATACCGGCGCAGATTTCCTGGCCACCGAGCTCCAAGATGCGGATTTTACAGAAGCTAGCTTTTCCGACGGCAATTCCAATTTTTTGCCACGGACTCTGGCTAGCATACGACGGGCCAGGCGACAAGCCGAGTGGCAGGGTGCATGGGGTCAAATTGCAGGCCGGGTTTGGGATGCGTTAAACCTCGATCTGGATAATCATGATGACGATGAAGCTCTACGCAACTTCCGACGATCACAACAGCGATTGGAAAGAGAGCAACGCGATCGTCAGCAATGGCAACAGCGTTTCAATATCGCCAGCCGCCTTGGAGCCCACGACGTGTTTGTAAGTAACATATCGAATGTGGTGCCTGTGCAACGGCCCCCACCCCCACCTCCTCCTCAGGAGACGGCAGAAGAGAAGCAGGCCTGGGGTGCGCTGGAGAAGGCTATGGAGGCCACCAACCCCAACCCCAATCGTCCGACTTCGAGTCACAGAAAGCGAAAGTCTCGTTCCGTGACTGCATCTCCAATTGAACCGCCTCAGCAACCGGAACGTAAGCTAAAACGACCTCGAACAAGAAGAGCTCCCACAATAGGGGAAGCTTCATCGTCTAGTCGCCCCTCTATACAAACCAACCAACCTATATCAGATGGGCCGAATTCAAATCCCACTTCTGCCCAATTTAGTAATGGCGAGGCCCCTTCCTTCCTCTCTTCTTTGTTAAAGGAAGTTGAAATGAGTGCGCCTTCTGACGATGAGAACGTCCGTCCGCTCTTCACATTCTCGAAACCAATACCGGACCCATCATCACCAGCTTCATCTCCTTCCCCGTCAGTTTTCAGCAGTCCCCGAGCTCTATCGACTACCCCCCCGCCACGTGCGATTAACGATCGCCCGGGCTCACCCCTGTCCCTCAGCTCACATATTGAGCCGATCTACCCACCTACGAACTTCTTGGCAAACCGAGGTAATGGGGATCATAGCGATTCTGATTCGGGATCCCGCCGGCGGACACATGGGCCTCAGAACAATAGGGCGAGCGGTAATTGTCCCGAAATTCGGCAGCCTCGGCCTCAACGACAACAGCCGATACCCGCCAATGGGTATCTATCACGGTCACAAGATACTAGTCCTACG